CGCACACGCACACACACACACACACACACACACACACACACACACACACACACACACACACACCCAAGGGTTTTTTATTCTATATAAGGAAAACGAAATGGCATGTGAAATACGAAATGAGTGTTCCGTCGCTAACTCCAGCATCCCCTTAAATTCATTCACCCAATTATATAGTGTAGTCGCAAACGCTGATGCAGATATGATATGGACATTATCCAACTCGGCTTTGATTTCTTTCGACGTTAAACCTTTCATATGTAGATATTTGATCACTGCATTTGAAACTCGTTTTTTTTCCATTTTGCAAAAAATACAAAGGTTGTTCGCTTTAATCGTCTACAGAAATGAAACCTCTCTATGAATTCCACTTAAAACTTGACAGTAATCGGCTGAAAGATGCTACTTGTCAAAAAGTAATGTGACATGATACTGCGAGTGCCCTCTGACAAATTTTCAAGAATTTATTGACTTGCCCTCGTAGTATATACACCAATACTTACAATTAGTTATTCATGTTAAAAACTTTTAATGTAGAAATTGTCACGGAAGAACAGCCAAATATTCCTGTTTTCGTGAAAGAATTGCAGCCCTCTTTTGCGATAGAAGGATGCTCTCATAAATTAGAATGCACTGTTAAAGGAAATCCTCTTCCGACAGTACAGTGGTACAAAAATGATACTAACTTTGATAATTCTCCGGACTATATTATCACTTTTAATAATGGAAAAGCTGTTCTGAAGTTTGATGAAGTCGTTTTGGAAGATAAAGCTTCGTATACTTGTAAAGCAACAAATCAATGGGGACAATCGTCTACTACCGCCTTTTTAGACGTGAAACGTAAGTCTTGTAATAAAATTGATAATGACATTGATAGTGACGTACTAAAAAAAATGTATGCTTTCTTTTTATTTATATAAATATTATTATAATTTTAGCCGCGCAAATTTCCGGAAAGAAGCCATATTTTATAGTACCATTATCAAATGTTATGGCCAGGGCAGGCCAAAGAGTGAAACTAGAATGCAAAGTTAACGGAGATTCAATTCCTAAATTAATCTGGACTCATGATGGAAAACTAATTGAAGAAAGCAAATATCATAAAGTAAGATGAGAGATGATGTTTCAATATTACGTGTAACATAATATGATCATAATGTAATCATTTATGTATTTATTCACAAACACACACACACACACACACACAGATTCAAACAGACGGTACTCAAACAAGCTTGATCATTACGGAAGCTTTTCCGAAGAATGCCGGATTTTACACGGTGACTGCCAGTAATGAAATCGGGAAGGCCACCGTATCTTGTACTGTTTCTGTGAAAGGATGTTTGCTTCATAAAACTAGTGAATGTGAGCTTGTTTGTAGCGATATGGAACCAATAGTCCCAAAAATTCAGTTACCTTTACAAAATTTGGAAATTCAAGAAGGACAATCAGCTAGGCTAGACTGCGTAATTGTAGGTCATCCTGAACCGGAGGTAAACTTTATTTATTTCTAAATCCTTCACCTCTTATAAGTTATTATTTTACATTATTTTTCATTTTGTATCTTTCTAGGTAATTTGGTACCATGAGGAACAGCCCGTAAAAGAGTCATCAAATTTTCAATTACTCTTTCAAGGTGATCGATGTTCATTAATTATTCATGAGGCTTTTTTAAATGACGCTGGTATATATAAAGTAGTTGCTATTAATTCTGCTGGCGAAGCTTCTAGTCAGTGTACATTAACAGTTACGCGTATGTATGATATTATATTTTTCTAATTAAAATTTTATTATTTTATACATTGTAAAACAAAACTAAATTTTAATAAATATTTCTTTGAATAGTCATAGCGGAATGTTTAATAAATGTAAACACATATGTATTTTACGTGATCTAAGAACTATTTCCATATCTATGTTAAGAAAATAATTGTTTTATTACGGTATTTATTAACTTTGTGTAACAAATGGTTCCGTATTAACTAATAGTAGCATAGTTAACATATGTTATATATATTTATTAGATCTAAGAACCATTAGTTTGATTCAACTATCATTCTTTTTATTTATCTAAATATTTATTTATCGTAAATAAATATTCCGCTAGGATTATTCAAAGAAATATTTATTAAAATTTAACAAATTTTTTTCTCAGTGTATGTACATGATACTTTCTCTTACATTTGTAGCAGCATCTCACGTCTTAAAGAAACAGAAAGATACTCTTGTTAGCGGTTCTGCTCCAAAATTCATTAAACTTCCGACGGACTTGCTGGTGGCTGAAAGCGAAAGTGCAATTTTCGATTGTGTCGTAATTGGAGAACCTAAACCTGATCTAAGATGGTACTCCGATGATGGTGAAATGAATCATAATGGAAGGATTTTCGTGAGTATTTGTATACTTGATACACAGATTGTACTTTATTTAATGTTTACTTAAGTATTGTACGTGACTATAAAATATTATGAATTGCCATAACATATTAGATTGGAGAAAGAAAAGATGGAACAGCCTTTTTGAAAATTTCATCAACGATACCAAAAGATAAGGGCAATTATGTGGTAAAAGCTAAAAACATACACGGTGAAGTCAAAGCTTTCACTAGATTAGTTGTGAAATCGCTTGGTGATTCTAAAAGAAACGAAGAATTTATCCAGATGGAAGAAAAATTGATTCATCCAACATTCAAAGAAATATTTCAGGACAGAAAAATACTTGAAGGAATTTCAACCAAATTTGAATGCATTATCATTGGAAAACCTTCTCCTAAGGTAGGCAAATTAATTTTACACAGTATAAATTTTTTCAAAAAATACATACCCATAAAAAACCTTTTTTTAAAAAAAGAAAAAAACATACGCCAAGTGCATATAAAAGATACTGAACTTCTTGATCAAAAACAGATATGAGATAAATATAATTGACCAAGTGTATTCTTCATTACGCCAGTCACATAAGACAGACCAAAAGTGACTATAATTGTCAACTGGATTATAGTGAAGAAAAAACTTGGCGTGCCCGGGTCGCATTAATTGTAAACAGTATTCAGTGAAAACATTATTTCAACATAGTATTTGCATTATAAATTAAAATATAAAAATAACAGACATATGTATACAGATATATACGTATAATATATACGTATAATATACACGTATAATATAGTGATATAGTTAGTATCATCATTCACTATATAGTGATATAATTTGTGGGACATGAAAATATATTCACAACTAAGTATTATAATATGTTCAGTAAGCAATTATTAACATCTTTTCTTTGTTGAATTGTTTTCGCATATATTGTGTATACTGCAGAATATTGCGATAGAACCAAGGTTCTAGAATATTGCGTTTTAATGCGACCCGGGCACGCCAAGTTTTTTCTTCACTATAATCCAGTTGACAATTATAGTCACTTTCGGTCTGTCTTATGTGACTGGCGTAATGAAGAATACACTTGGTCAATTATATTTATCTCATATCTGTTTTTGATCAAGAAGTTCAGTATCTTTTATATGCACTTGGCGTATGTTTTTTTCTTTTTTTAAAAAAAGGTTTTTTATGGGATTTCACTGCTTTTTGTTAATTATGAAAACGTGATAATAATGTAGGAAATTTAAATCCTCTAAAAATAAATACAGATTCTGTTTCTAAAATAGTTATTTTGTAAATTTCTATTTATTTAATATTAAAGATGTACTCGTATTGTATTTATTGACACTTAATTATACTTAAGTTTATTTGTACTTAATTTAGATTTGTTCTAAGAAAAATATATACGCGCTCTTTGCATTTCGTGGCCACTTACATACTTCAACTTTTAAATCATTTATGGATGTCCATTTTGTACCTTTAGCTCGCAATAAATTTGTGTAATGTCCTTCGTCTATATTTTTACCATGATGAAGAATCGCACTATTAACTTTATAAATATTATCACCGATACAAATTTTTGACGAAGGTATGGATTTAATATTAAGATTTGTAATCTTTATAACTTCTTCATTATTAACTTTAAATAATAATAATTGAATAATAAGTACACGTTTGGTCGTTGTTATACTAGTCTTTTCAAGTAAAGCAGTTGAATTACAATTACATGTATGTGTCACACGTACGATTGAAAAATACATGTATGTGTCACACGTACGTCTGAACATAACTGAAACGTACCCTTTTCGGGACTCGGTCTCTAGATCTCGATATCGGCTGCTCGATATCCAATTTTATTCGGACTGGTCGCAATCGAAAGATACCGATGACATTATATAATAAAAGTGTTTTTAGATTTT